TTTCCTCCCAGTAGCTCTGTGAGTGGCTGTAGGTACCAAGTGAAGCTGAGTCAGACCCACTGGGGGTGATGTGGGGTCTCCCATGAGCTCAGTGTGGCCTGCAGAGCATGTAACCAAACGCTGCCTGTGCAGACCTGTCAGAGCTCCTGGAGTGGCTGAAATCCAACAGCAGGATGTCAGCGCTTCCAGGACGCGAGGTTAGGAGTGGGTCAGTTGTAGCCGGCAGGTTTTTACTGGGTGGTAGGTGCTGAAACTCTGATCTGCCCAGACAGTAGATCCCTTTAAAGGCCAGTAATCCTGCTACTTGAATGCGCTCACACTGGCCTTACTGGTTTTCTAGCTGTGGTGAAAGCTAAGCAATGCTGGGAGCAGATGTGTAAGCAGTGACTGTGGCCAGACAGAGTGGTGGAGGAGATGAGAGTGAAATAAATGGGGCAGAGCAGTTGGACACTGCCTTTGGGAGCTCCTGAGGAGCCCCTGAACCCTTGCTGATGTATCCCAAATGGAGCTCTGGTCCCACAGCTGGGATAACCAGGAGATGAAGTGCAGGACAGCATTGCCTGGGAGCACTCTGCGTGGTGTTTGCTGCCTCGGGTCTCCGGGAACGCTGCACATGCTGGGTCAGTGCAGGGTGACTTGCTGCCTGGTGTTACAAACCCACCATAGGGGCTGCTCCATGGAGGAGGAGGAGGGTGTCCGTACTGGAGTGTTTGTGGGCAGCGAGGTTTGGGCCATGGAATCAGCTGCTTTGCTTTGACTCTTGTACTGTTTAATGACTAATCAGATTTTTGAGCCTGTTTAACAAATTCAGCTGTCTCCCTTGAACAATACGCTGGCTGTATTTTTAAACGCATCACGTGGCTTCAGAGAAGTCGGCGAACCAGCGTAGTGCGGCTTGCCTGGGCTGGGAGATGCTCTGCCCTGCTCCGTGCTTGTGACTGGGAGGGAGCAGTCTCCTCCCCAGCTCGAGCCATCTGTGCCAGCTTTCCCTCGCTGCCCACCGCAGCTGGCAGGGAGGCTGCTGCTGCTCCTTGAGCACTGCCCAGGGTGAGTACTGCTGGGCTGGTGAGATCGGGGGGGTTTTGTGGCTGTGGGGTTGGGCGCAAGCCCAGGTGCTGCTGTTGGGGAGAGCGAAGTGGATATTCAGAGGGTAGGAGGTCCCTCTCCAAGTGTGGGCAGAGGTGAGTTCCTAGTCCTGTGCTGTAGCCGAAAAGGGTCTGTGCCTCTGTTGGGGAAACTCCCAGGATAAGGCTCTGCGAGCGTGGGAAGATGCTGTGACTGTCACTGAGGGCTCCTGCAGACCAGCTCTGCCTCAGATTGAGATCAATGCTTCGAGGAAAGAACCCACCTGTACCTGTCTGGGGCTTGTGTTGGAGTTGTGAGATTTCTCCCTGGAGCGTGGAGCTAGAGGTGCCAGCTCCTCAGCAGATGTGCCGCTGGATAATGTGGCTTGGGACAGGTATATCCCAGCATCTCTAGTGCTGGTACTGAGTCAGTACTGGTATCAGAGCATGGTGTACTTGAGCACGGTGGCGTTTTTTACTCACCTGGTTTGAGCAGCATTTTGGATTATTAATCCTCTTCTGCACAAAAGCTACCAAAAATCCAGGTTAAAAACCTTGTGGTTGTAGCTGGCTGAGGTCAGGTGAGGCTGGAGGATGTCAAGTGGATCCCGAACTCGCTTTGCTGAAAACTGAAAGCTTCAGGGCAAGCTGCCTTGTTTTGCAGCCTCTGAATAATTAAAACCATTTCTGAATGCTTTGCTCTTTTCATTTGGTTTGGGGACACAGTCAGCTTGCTGAGACTTGCTCCTTTTGAATAGAGCTGGCTGGTGTCGTGCGCCCGTGGGATCCTGCGTGGCCAAGCCTGCCCTGTGTTCCTTCTCCTGGGTGGCAGCCAGCCCCACACCACTGACCCACGGAGCAGGACAGGGCTCTCCTGCCCCCTTAGTGGCCTGGTGCTCTGCCTGGACGAGGTGGCTCCAGAGGGAGGAATTTGCTTGCCTTGGTTCCCCTAGTGGGAGGAAAACCTGCTGCTGTGCCAGGGAAGCAGTCTGGCGTGTACTGGTCTGTCAGCTCTCAGGCAAAGGCCTGACCAGACAGGCTCCTCATGAACACGTACTGGGGACGGTGCTCGCCGCTGCCTGCAAAGTGTCTCCTTCATCAGCAGGCCAGACTGGCACGTTGCTGGCTGCCTGTGGCCAGCTCCTGGCGAGGCTGATGTGTGTGGCATCTCACCTCCGAGCCTGCAAATACCTGCTAATGGGTCAGGCCTTGCTTCTCTCAGCCTGGCTGTTGGTGTGTGCAGCAAACTGTCCGTGGGTTCAGCCTGTGCTGCCCGTGGCAAAAACCATGTGGGTAGCTGTCCGCTGGGTGCCAGCTTGCTCCAGTACCAGTGGGAAGAAATGCCAGCACAGGCTGGGTGGAGGGGCCTGGCTGGAGCACCTGTATGAGGTCTGTAACCAGGACGTGGGGTCTGCAGTTCTGCTTCCGGATGAAGTGGCATCTCCTGGCTGATCTCAGCCTTGGGAAAGTAGCCCACCCTCATGTTTGTCAGCCCCACCAGGCTGCTGATGCTGGCTCCAGCTGTGCAGTGCCATGCTGTGACTGATGGCAAAGAGCACGCAGCCTTTCTGGAGTGGTGCAGAGGGTCGGTACCCTCCTGGACAAGTCATTTGCGGACTGACAGGAGCCCAGTAGCCTCCTGGGCCTCTGCCACAGCAGCTGGGAGGGAAGGAGGTGTGTCATGCTGCAGCACTGACAGGCTCTTTCTCTCTTGCAGTTCTCAGCATGCTGAGTAACCCTCTCGGAAATGTCCTGGGGAAGCCCCCGCTGGGTTTCCTGCCTCTAGACCCCATTGGTTCGGACCTGTCAGAAAAGTTTTCCACGCCGACATTGAGGAGCTCCCGCCTGGACTCCCGCTCCCTCCTGGACTCCCGCTCCAGCAGCCCCTCGGACTCAGACACCAGTGGGTTCAGCTCTGGCTCCGACCACCTCTCAGACTTGATTGTAAGTTTGGGTTTTGCACCCACTCTGTGGTTCCTGGTGTCTTGCTGCATTTCTGGGGAGCATGGGAGAGCTGGGGGGGGCTGCCAGCCACAGCCCTGCCTCCTCAGGAAGAGAATGGAGTGCTGGAGGGAGCTGTCATGCCCACAGTGACATAGCAAGGTTCTCCTGCAGCTCAGGGTTTGGAAGAAGGGCTGCTCATGCAGTCCTTCAGCACAAACTAGCAGTACCCTTATGTATTTTTTTCTTCTAAATAATGTTTTAGCATTTTGGCTTTGTGCTTTTAGCCCTAATGGATTAAAGTAGCTCCCAGAGGGGTGTGAGTGCTTGAGCTTGTGTGTGGCAGGAGGGTGTCTGTGCCCTGATCCCAGCAGGGAAGGTGGCTGAACAGCACAGCTGCCTCCAGGCTCTGGCCTGGGCTTCTCAGGAGCTCCTTTCTCTGCCCTTCCCGTTTGCTGACTGCACTTCATCTCAGGGCTGTTTCTTCTAGAGCAAACTGGGTCTAGCCTGCTCCTGTTCCCTAAAGCACAGCTAAATTTGGAAGCCAGTGAGCAAGGCGAGCGTCTGTCTTGCTGACCCAGTCTGTGCTGCTGGGTCTGCGTTGCTGCTCACACTGCAGCTCTGGGTGCCAGCAGGACAGCCTGGCTCCAGCCAGCTCTGTGGGTGCTGCTGCTTGGCTCGTCCTCAGGACCTGAGGCTAAAGCCAGGGCTGAGCTGCTCCTGGCTCTGCTGTGGTGCAGCCATGGCCTTGACCCCCATGTTGGGGTGGGTGTGAGGGACACAGCTGGCTTGATGCAGAGTTGATTCTCCTGTGATCCACCCTGGAGAATCAGGATCTTGAGCAGGGGCGCTGTAAGCGGCTGCAGCACCCCAGGCTGTGACGATGGCAGGCGGTGTGGGGTGGCAGGGCTTTGTGCTGGCCTTCTTCGTGAAGGTCGGGTCCTCCTCGGCACGGCCTCAGCGTGGGCGGCTGTGCCGCAGCAGCGCGTGGCTCGATCCGCGGAGCGGCTGGCACTCTGAGCTGCACAGTGTCTC